GACATGTGGTTTTTGATGAAAACTTTTTACCATATACTGATCTTACTAATATTTCTAAAAGTGTGAATACAGAAGGAGAGCTCAGCAGATATCCAAATTCTGACGAATGGTTCCGGGCATCACATAATTTACAACCTGCAAAGGACATTCCTGACATAGATGATTCAAGTAGCTCAAGAGCTAAATTTCTTGATGACACTAAATTTCTTGATGACACAATCAGCCAAGGAGGGTCGCAGGATCTTTAAAGGATGGAAAGACCTCAAATTGACAACCTTCCAAATTCAAATCAAATAAATGAAACTTATGAGCCACAATCTGGAGTAGAGGTAGAAAATGCATCAATACCTTCAAGCTCTCTAGATATTGAATCTACAAATTGTCTTCTTAGAGAGAGAAGTCAAGATGCAACTAGCATAATGGGACAAAACAGATCACCTTTTCTTCAACATGATATGATTGAACCAAAGGTAGTTGGAGTCTCACTGCCACCACACAACAGTAGCTCATCATCGATTCATCCTATGCAGACTAGATCTAAAACGGGGAACCATACGGGACATGTCAAAACCAATTTCACAAAGCATGCTCAAACAATGATAACTAATGATCCTCCTTCACGTGTTTCAGGTCTTGACATTCAAGAACCAAAATCAGTTAAGAGAGCACTTCAAATACCACATTGGGTTGCAGCTATGCGTGACGAGCTAGATGCCTTGCGGAAAAACAATACTTGGGAGTTAGTTCCTCGTCCATCTGATGCTAACATTGTAGGATCCAAATGGGTCTTCAAGACTTTGATGAGACCTTTAGCCCAGTACTTAAACCCACCACACTCCGCCTAGTGATTGCTTTGGCAACTACTCAAGAGTGGTAGTTGCATCAACTTGACATAAAAAATGCATTTCTTCATGGCATGCTTAAAGAGACTGTATATATGACACAGCCCCCTAGTTTCCGAGACCCTAAACATCCTAACCATGTTTGTCTATTGCACAAGTCTATTTATGGCCTCAAACAGGGCCCTCGTGCCTGGTTTGATAGGTTTACATTGCATCTTTTACAAATGGGGTTTTATTGTAGTCCTGTTGATTCCACTTTTTTTATTCTTCGAAATTCAAAAGGTATTGCTTTGCTTTTATTATATGTTGATGATATTGTTCTAACAGCCAATACAAATAAATTGTTACAGGACATCATTACCAATCTAAGTAAGGAGTTTGCACTCAAAGACTTAGGCCCACTCCATTACTTCCTTGGTAGAGAGGTGAACACTTTCCCTAAAGGAATAATCCTCTCTCAAAACAAATATGCTTGTGACCTACTAAATTGAGCTTCTATGTTGGATTCATCTTCTATTTCTACACCACTTGTTGTCAAGGAGTCTACCACCCCCCGAGATGCCGATCTAATAGATGCTACAATGTATAGAAGCATTGTAGGAGCACTTCCATACTTGACCATCACAAGGATAGACATTTGCCATGTTGTTAATCGAGTATGCCAGTTTATGCAAGCCCCCACAGTTGCTCATCTTCGTCAAGTCAAGAGGATTTTGAGATATCTCAAGGGCACTACCAACTATGGCATACGCTTCTTGAAATAGAGTACTTTGTCTCTTATTGGGTTCTGTGATGCTGACTGGGTTGGATGCTCTATCACTCGCCGCAGTACTACTGGGTTTTGTATATTCCTTGGGGCCAATTGCATCTCTTGGTCATCAAAGAAACAGTCAACAGTGGCTCGCTCAACAGCAGAAGCAGAATACAGGGCACTTGCCTCCACTGCAGCTGAACTGGTCTGGATCACTTACCTCCTTCGTGACATTGGAGTCTCCCTGCCCTCACCCCCTTAATTATTCTTAGATAACATCAGTGCCTTGCATATGTCCATTAATCCCGTATTTCATGCCCAAACGAAGCACATAGAAATGGATTACCATTTTGTACGGGAAAAAGTGGCTATCGGCACCCTCGTCACTCGCTACATTCCTAGCACTGATCAAATAGCAAATATCCTCACCAAACCCTTGCTTAAACATCAACATGCACTTTTGTGTTTCAAGCTTGAAGTTGCTCCATCCTCCCACTCCAGCTTGAGGGGGAGTATGAAGGCCTGTACAACATATCAGGATCATGATCCTGCAAACAAGGAAAGTTCTATGACAAACAATCAAGAAGGAAAGCAAAAGAAATCTTCAATTCAATGCAGAAACTCTCAATCAAAGCTGAAAATATTCAATCACAGTAATGGACTCAATCACAGCAAGAATTCACAATCAAGACTAATTGCAATAACTTAGGATTTTACCGTTGGATGTAATTACATATATATATCTGTACCAAGTTAGATTAAAATACAAGCTCAGTATTCTTATTCTCTATATTCCTCTTCAAATTCTTTCACATCTGACAGCAGCATGGAGCTTCACATGGGCAACAGGAGATGACAGAAAACTTATCATTTTAGTCAATGGTTTAGGTAGTTAGTAATTATTGTATTAAGTAAAAAAAATATTATTATTTTATGTGTAGCCTTCCTCTATAAAAAGGAAGGAAGAAATTGATGAAAATTGAGAAAGAGAAAGCATGGTTTTTCCTCTCTAGTTGGGTGAATGTCTGCTTCCTTCCATGTTTATGGCTTTATGTTCTATGTTATATTGTGTTGTTTCTGCTATAAATAGCAGAATATCAATGGAAGAAAATGGGTTCTAACCTCACCAAAAGAGGGAACTTCGGGTGTCTCCACTTCTCCAAGTCCTTTCTCAATCCCCCCTTCTCCTTCCTTCTTACCACCCAAAATCCAACATGGTATCAGAGTTGAATTCTTGAGGGATCTGTGAGAGTTTTTTTTTGAGGGAACACCAGAAAAAACCCACCGTTCTCATTGTTTTCAGACGGTTCTTCTTGTGAAACCCCTCTTGCTTGGCCAAAATCTTGTAGCTAAAAAAGTTGTGAAGATGGAGGCATACGTTAGTCCCACCATGGGAGATGTCAAGGAGAGGAAAATTGGATTCAAAGTGAAGGTGTTCATGTTTGTTGCCAAAATCAATCCAAAAGGCAAATCATGGTCGATGGAATGGGAAATTGAGCACAAGAACTTAGTTTCATGGTATATTCTTCATCCATTTTTCATGTTTGATATGGATATGTTTTGAGTTTTCCAAGAAAACTCTTCATGGATGTGGCTTTGATGTTCCAAACTTCCATGGCTTCATGGCAAAGAATGTTTGATGGAGATGATGGTAAAGGAAAACTGAGCACAACATCTCAGTTTCATTGTTTGTTCTTCTACCATCTTTTATGTTTGTATTTCTGAATGTTATGAGTGTTTTTTCAGGAAAAAAAAAAAAACTCTTCATGTTTATGTATTTGTGAACTCCATCACTTTATGGCAAAGAAGTTTGGTGGAGGAGCAAAAATCACAACTCCAGAATGTATTGAAGCAGCAAAGATCCACAGACAAAGCTGCTGCAATGGTGGAGTTGCAGAAAATGTTTAAGGCTCCAGAATCTGTTCAAACTGCAAAAATCTAACAAATATGAAGCTGATTTGCAGGAGGAGCTGAAATATTTAAGAATATGATAGTTGGCAGCAAATAACAAACGAAACCAAGGCACAAAGAATTGAAAATGACAGAGCAATGTTCTAAAAGTAAAATTTTGTTTCTGCAGCTTTAATGCCAAGGCAGAGTTTGGTGGAGCTATGGCATGAAAGCTGAAAATGCAATCAAATGAAATCTGCTAAACGATGCTGCAACATGACTGCACAATAGCTAACAGCAGCATGGAGCTTCACATGGCAACAAGAGATGACAGAAACTTCATCATTTCAGTCAATGGTTTAGGTAGTTAATAATTATTGTTTTTAGTAAAAAAATATTATTATTTTATGTGTAGCCTTCCTCTATAAAAAGGAAGGAAGAAATTGATGAAAATTGAGAGAAAGAGAAAGCATGGTTTTTCCTCTTTGGTTGGGTGAATGTCTGCACCCTTCCGTGTTTATGGCTTTATGTTCTATGTTATGTTATGTTGTTTCTGCTATAAATAGCAGAATATCAATGGAAGAAAATGGGCTCTAACCTCACCAAAGAGGGAACTCAAGGTGTCTCTCCTTCTCCTCCAAGTCCTCTCTCAATGTCCCCCTTCTCCCTCCTTCTTACTACCCAAAATCCAACATTCTCCTTTATGTTTGTAGAGGCTATAATTTATTCATTCTTTCAATTTTTGCAAAGATATACTGTAATTCGATTCATAATTTCCTTCATTAATTCTATTTGTATGGATTATATAGGAAACATATTACAAAATAACTTTGATTCTTTTGACATGGATAGTTCAACATGTTTAATTTTTGCTCGAATGTAATCAAAAGCAATATCAAAAATCAATATGCAGCATGCTGCAAATATGAATAAGTTATTATTGTATTCGATAAGCACTTTGCAACTACCGAAGCAACATGAATTTTAGGAGTATGTGGAGAAAAGGTACCTTGGTGCCCAATGCGAAGAAGTTTTGAACCCTTTGTTAAATCAAATAATGTCAGTTACCCTTATTCTTGCTGATCAAAAGAAAAGAAAAAAGGTACCCTTATTCTTATCAAATGCAGCAACCTGAATAAAAATCAATTGATGAGGATCAATGATTTCACATATTTATGTGACAGAGTAATGCTCTCATTTCAGTGAACACATTGAATCCTAAATACTATGTGTACCTCGAAAGGAAAGATATTTAGCCATTTAAGTCCCAGAACTGAGGTTAATATATACCTTGTTCCATGATCAAGCAACATGTGAATCTCGTCTCTCGAGTTGATGGCCACATTCCAGCAGGGTCTCTACCAACAATGTAAAAGCTAGCCCCTGCATTTATTTAAGATATTTCATGCCACAGGACTTCAGCCGGGCAGGCATAAGATATAGGAGTTGAAATATAGACACCATCTAAAACACCATCCTCAAGCACCTGATAAATCATCATCAAACTTGTTGACTCAATGTACTCTAAGAGGGGGGGTGAATTGGAGTTCCAAAAATTCTCCCCTTTTTGCAACCACAAAACCAAAATTAAAGAGAGTAGAGAAAAAGAGCTTGCTCAATGATTTATAGAGGTTCGATTCAATCACTTGGAGCTTAGTCCTCTACCTTGGCTTCACTCACCAAGGATTTCCTCCACACTCTCCACTAACAACAACAAGGGTGGCTTAAAGGAACCACTTAATCCTTTTACAAGAATAAGGGTGTTTCTCTCAAATCTCACCCCTTTACAAGATAAACCCAAACAATCCTCTCTACAAATCACTCTTGAAGGAATAGTCACACCCCTAAGATTACTCACAAATAGAACAAGAAGAGGATTACAAATAAAGATCTCTCAAAGATCAAAATCTCAAGTTAAAGCACAAGTTGGTAGGTAAAGATATTCAATACAATGCTCTCTAAACTTGTTCATATCTGTTATTAACCATATTTATAGCCCCTTGCTCGAAAATAACCGTTTCTAACCGTTGAGGGTCATTAAATGCTCTGTAGGACATAAAGCTCGAGTTGCAGGATTGTCAAGAGAGCCGGCTTATCTTCGTAGAGTCAGCTCTATACAGCCGGCTCACCATTTCTGCAGCCGGCTTTGCGGGATTCCTACACATTCTGTTTTCTTCCACAGTCGGCTGCAAAGCCTAGAGCCGACTGCAAAGCCTAGAGCCGGCTGCAAAGCCTAGAGCCGGCTTTGGGATTCCAACTTTAAACACATTAAATAATCTTCAAATAACTCGACCGTTGTGCATTAAATGCACCTTCACAGTCGGTTACAAAGTGGGAGCCGGCTCTACTTCCATTTTTCGCGCACGCCAAAACAGCAGTTGAATTTCTGGCTTGTAGAGCCAACTCAACAAAATCTGTAGCTGGCTCTCTGCATTTTTGCTTCCCAGAGCCGGCTGCAATTTTCTTAAGCTAGCTCTCTGTATATTTTTACCCTTTGAGCCCTTTTTAATGCAATATCATTTTGCTTACTTTGCAGTATATTGGCAATTTAACTACACACTTAAATAAATCAATTAGTCACTCAAATGTGTTTTGTAATTATCAAAATTATAGGTACAACAAAACTGATTCAGCAACAAAAGCAAATAGATGAAGATGCACCAATAAAAAATGCAAATACATGAGGAATCAAATAAATAAACCAGTCAACCGGTTCCAACACACAAAAAATAAAATTAAAAAAAAATTCAACTCTTAATCTTCACTGGAATCCTCCATACTGAGGATTCTGGGAATATTTTTTTTCTTCCCCAATTCTTGACAATAGTTATCACGGAAGTCCCTCGACAAATTATAACCATCGGAGAGGTGA